GCCCTGGGCAAGAGCTGCAAGGGCTTTGGAAATCCACCTATCTACGAAAAACGGGTAGATATCACTCAAGATGGGGGCCAGGCAGTAGCCGATGCACACCCCGGTCTTCTGGGTGAAGACCTTTTTTTCGTGCTCCACTAGGGTTAAGCGTGGGTAAAGGTCGATGAGGCCCAGAAACCTCGCGACACTGAGATCGCCGTTGAGTTCTGGAACCTGACCGCGCCGTGGAGGTGAATGGCCTCGCTGATGAAACCGAGTATGGTTGGGATGTCTAGGCTATTAGCGTTGTGCGTGGCCAAAAGCGTCGCTGTGGTCAGCTTTCCACGATTGGCCAAACCATGAGCATATGAGCACAGGGAGATTGTCAACTTTGACGATGTTAGTTTTGGATTGTGATGGCTCCTAGCTTCTACTGTGCTTTTTAAACACACCATCGAACTCGTCGTCGCCCCCGATGGTAAGTAGCCAGAATAACAACTGGTGACGTCACAGCGAGGCAAATCCCAGTCGTGACGTCACGAAGAGAAACCATAAGAGGGCGCCACCGAAACATCTCGGCGCTAATAGTACATGTCGACTACGTTAAGCCAGAAAATGGCGATGGTGTTCCAAGCGGTATGGAGTTCCTCTACGGGCTTTATCAAGGCTGTGGGGTTGTCAATGCGGAAGGGGTGAGGGAGATAAAGAACCGAGAGTTGCTTTTGCAGAAACAAGGCCAAGGGTGTCTGCCAGCAGCCTTATTCCGAGATAGTGCTTCGAAGTGGAATGTCTGGTTTGTGGGTTTTGGACGAGAAAAAAATAGACACGTATTGCTGAAAGGGCAAGCTGATTAAGCTCTCAAGAGATGGAACGTTCGGAGAATCGAAGAGGGCCTTGACCTCGGAGCAAAGTGAGCCAGAGGGCCGGGCTCTGAGAGGTCTAAAATTCTTACAAAGGGCGGCCGACGTCTTCTGATCCAGTTGGACCCTGTCAAGGACCACGAAGGTTCCCTCCTTATCTGCCTCGAGGAGCCTCAGGTCTGCTTGGCGGAACTTCCGATGACCGTTCGGGTCATGTTCCCGGTGGAGGATCCACCTCTGTGGAAGTGGATGGTCCTGGAGCCGGCACTGATGAAATCCTGGTTGTTGGCCTCCGGGACTTCGCGGCCACCTCGTGCACCGCTGCCAGGTTGTCGACTTTTGAAACCGGAAGCTCCAGAGCGAACTTCGATCCCTGTGACAGGAAGGCCTCGGTGGACTGCGAGAGCTTGACTTTCGAGATGTGAATGGGGTGTTCGAGCTGCGGCTTGGGGTGTTGTGCCATCTCGGTCCTCAGGCTCCAGAGGTATTGAACCCAGGACTTCTCCAGGAGGTGACCCGCCGACTCCCTAAGGAGCTTGTAAGGATCGAGGCTGGGAGGCGAAGTCGACCCCCAGGTGCTTCGACATGGTGTTGGGGAGCAGGGTCTGCACGAGGCGAACCTCCGACGGCACCTCTCCACGGGCTATGTGGGTGATCTTGTACTGGGCAGGCCAGCTGCTTGACTGAAATCCGAAAACGCCTCTGATGTCCCCGTGGAACAGTTTCTTGCGGAGACACATGCCCAAGACCCTGAGCCGCAACTGGAGATGTGTCATTGTGGAGATGAATAGGAAGGCTTGGAAGAATCCTTCAGGGACAAACGCTGACGGCACGAGAGGAAGGTGCAGTTCTGACTGGCAAAAACAACTTTGCAAACTGCACAGAAGGCACGGAAGAAATAATTTTGCTGCTGAGTTTGAGATGGCTCCTGTCCCTCTTACAGTGATGGTTGTTGTTACCTCTGCCACCAACTTGAATTGATGTTCATGCGGCGTCACGTGACAGTGTGGCATCACACCGTGACGTCGCGTTACACATGGTGCATCGTGACTCCTTGCTGGCACGTGACATAATGTTAGGTGGAATTTTATATAAATTCTGTTTTCTATAGAATCTCTACAAGATTTTTACAGAACTTCTACAGGATCTGTATAAAATCGCTATAAAATATTTTTGGAAATTCAATAGAACTCATCAGACAATGTCACGTGACCATGCTGTAGTCAAGTGACATCATCTATCTACAATAGGCACTTTTATACTTACAGACGAGCGTGTCGCTCACCTAGTAAACATTGGTGATGGTCCCTCCGCGTAAGATGCTGGATCCATAGGGATACGTCGAGGTTTGATGAGGCGTCGCAGCTGTGTGACTGTACAATACTCCGTTCACCCCTAAGGTGATAGCGCGGCGAAAGCTACGTGCTCATTTAACTATACTTGTTTTCACCTCAAGAACCGTTGTAAAAAAAAATACTTCAGCCCTTCCACCCTGGTGAAAAAGGAAGACCAGCGAAGCTGCACTATGGTGGGAATGAAGTAATGGACGGCCGCAAGTTGGCAAGCCAGAGTGGAAAGGCTGGACAAGCCGGTTGCCTGGTTACCGCCGTCGCTCATAGATGGCGGTAGCTGTCCAGAGTTTCGTGTCTTCATTTGTTTGCTGGCGGATACGATACTGGGGAAACTAGCCCTTAAGGGGATTGTCCGGTCAAATTTTGTATTCGAGAAAACAATTGAATATCGTTATTGGCTCGAGACGCATCGTACGTGCAATATATCTGAATTTTATATGCCCCTCTCCACGAGTAATTGAATTTATACTGCTTCAGTCGCATTCTAGTGTAAACGCTGCTTTCGTTGGCAACAATGAAGCTCTGACGTCACAAAACGCAAAGCAATAAGCATTTCTGTCTCGTCGCTTGCCTGCGAGTGAACGCCTCAGCGTGCTTCGTTTTTGTTGTTGTGCTCGACTTGTTTCGTGGTTGGGTGCCACAACCACCGGGCAGCACATGCGAGCCAAGACATGACGTTCCACTCTTTTCCGCGAGACGTACAGTGACGAGCAAAGTAAATGATCGCCATGCGTAAAGACTAGGATCCCGTCAAGATCAAGATCCCGTTTATGCAGCAATCTTCTCGCAGAAGACAGCTACAAGCTGAGCTCTAAGCGGACAAAAGGCTCGTAAGCTGAGGTGCGACGTTGTGCCAACGATATTAAACTATGTCCGTCCATTCCTCGCCCAAATCGGGTCAATCAATTGGATTATGCAACGAAACCGAAACCATCAGCTAGACCTTCTGGAAACGATATCAGAAGTTGTGTTTAGCACGCGTGCAGCCCGATTCTGTTTGACCCGCGTGTGAAAATGGAGCGTGACTACGATTCGCCAAGCTCGTCCAAGTCAAGTGACGACATGCATTTGAACGATTCGCCGTTTGCCTTCGACCCGCGGACATCGCCTCTGAGGGAACGACCCGCAGCTTCATCACAGATCCAGCGGATCCGCCGACATGTGTACCCAGATGCCGCTTCAGAGGCGAAATCTGCGTCCTTTGATTTTTAAGCGCCCCAAGTTCGATCGGTAGCCGTCACAGTTGTGTTTGCGCGAAACGGCATACGTTTGCTCGAAGCTTATGGCTGTTTGCGAATAATATCCTGCTAAAAGGCGTGACCTTTTTTGCACATGCTTGGGAATCAGCATTAAAAGAACCGTATTTCAGTAGAGTACAGCCTAGGAGACTATATAATTCAAAACAAAATGCAAGACATCCATCGACCAACGCTTGTTATATCCCAACCATCCGACAAACCTTTGCGTTTTGTGACGTCACGCAGCACCTACGGATGTCAGCCATTGACACTGGCAAAATTCCGGGTGCGGGTCCATATCACATGAGTGAATGACGTTTTAGCAAACAGCGACATTTGAGCGAATCGACGTTTTAGCGAATAACGGGGGCGCGCGTTAACCCATCCGCCGCGCTGCGCTTTACGCCGCTTCGCGGCGACAGTCTACGGCGGCTCATTACAAAAATGTGAACCCATTTGGCCCACCCGAAAACTCCGCTTCGCGGCGTCCGACTATTCGCTAAAGTGTAATTCGGTGAAACGTAAGCGTTCGCTAAAACGTCATTCGATGAAGTGAGTGCCTCCCTTAACCGCTCATTCACACTGGAAGCGGATCCGCGTTCGCAAAATGGTTGCGAACGCGGCTGTATAAAGATCCAGTACATTGGCACGCGCACTAGATGTCATCGAGTGTGCGTGCAGTTGTTCTGGGTCTTTATACAACCGCGTTCGCGAATCGCAATCGCTTTACGAACGCGGATCCGCTTCCCGTGTGAATGAGCGGTAACAGCTCCGCTATAGGCCTCCTGCGCTGAAGCTTTGAACAAACTGTGGCGCCCTGATTTTGGGTAGTACAGGCTCACTTGATAGAGCCTCGTGCTACTTATGGCACGTTGGTTGATCTTTTTTTAATTCTGTCTGGTGCTGATGAACGAAAAAAGACGAGGCAGAGCCAGAGTGACGACCACGTAGACGGTTTATTCAGCACGCCAGTGCGTAACCAAAAGAACACGGAGCATACGGCTCCCAGCGCTTATATAGAGATAAGTGACGCACTATCAATGTGACGTCATACGCGGTGCGCTTCGCAAGATACTACACTCCTCCCCAGAAATTTTGTTTACACAATGTTAGGGCGTGTACCAATCGGGAGGTTTTCTTGCACGAGCACTGCGTCGAAGAGTCTGTGCCCCTTGAGGAGAGGCCGGTTCCCGGAGAGGGGACTGCGGTGCGGAACCTTGGCGGGGACTTGCATTCCGCTGACCCAAGGGGGCTGAGTCTTCGGGTAGCTCTGGCGGTGCTGCAGCCGCTTTCGGAGACTCCAACGCAGGAAGAGGAGGACTCGTAGCAGACGCCTCCGGCACACGGTCTGGAATCGAACTGGGTACCACACGTGAAGGCTCCCGGGACCCTTGTTCGTCACTTTCAAAATAACGAGGGCGTAAATTTTCTGCATGCACAAACCTGGTCCCGCGTCCCACACGCACAATGTACGTAACGGCACTGCACCTTTTCTCGATGACCCCAGGTAGCCACTTTGCCTCCCCCGGACGAAGGCCTTGAACTATTACTCTTTCGCCCTCTTCGAATGACCTCCACGGCCCTCTTCTGTCGTCAGCTTGGCTCTTGACCTTGGAGAAACGATCTGCTATACGTCTCTCCAGATCTGGCTGAAGCAGGGTCAGGCGGGTGCGGGGCTTCCACGACAGGAACAGTTCAGCAGGCGTTTGCCCCGTTGTCGTGGTGGGGGTGTTCCGGTACCTGAATAGAAACTGGTCTATACGGTGTTGTAGGGTCTTCCTGACGCCCAAAGAGTTTTCGTCGAGAAGCTGTCGCAGAAGATCCCGTTTGACCGTCTGGACGCATCTCTCGGCACTTCCATTTGATGCCGGATGGTACGGAGGTGTCCTGGTATGACGCACTCCGTTCCTGAGCAGAAACTCTGTGAAGTTCTTCGCAGTGAACTGCGGCCCGTTGTCCGTAACGACCTCCTCCGGAAGGCCATACGCGGCGAACACACTCCGAAGCTTTTCAATAGTCTTTTCTGCCGTTGTTGAACTCATCACGAACACCTCCACCCATTTGGAGTGTACATCCACCAGCACCAAAAGCCATTGGTTGTCTGTGAATGCAAACTCCAGGTGGATTCGTTGCCATCTGCGGCTCGGCCAACCCCAAGTTTGTAGTGGGGCCTTCGGTGAAGCGTTTTGCGTCAACTGACAGGTACTGCAACTTTTAACAACACATTCAATGTCTTGTGTTAACTGAGGCCACCAGACATAGCTACGCGCGAGCATTTTCATGCGCGTAACTCCGGGGTGACCTTCGTGCATAAGCGCTAACACTTGTTTGCGCAAGCGGCGAGGGACAATCACACGATTTCCCCACGTAACGCACTGCTGATCTACGGACAGCTCATGCCGGCGGACGAAGTACGGGGACAATTCACTGTCCGTTACACGCGTAGGCCAGCCACTCCTCGTGTACATCAACACTTTCGATAACACCCTATCAGTGCTCGTTCCCTTTTGGATCGCGTCAGCAGACAAGGGAAGTTCATCGACAACTGAGAAGAAATGTACATAATCTGAAACATCCTTATCATTCGGCAACGGCAACCGCGACAGCGCGTCAGCGTTTCCAATATTGCTGCCTTTACAATACACCCATTTGTAATCGTATGCCGCTAGCAACAAAGCCCAGCGTTGCATGCGTGCCGCTGACATCACTGGAACAGGCTTGCCGTGCGCCAGAGGGCTAGCTAATGGCTGGTGATCTGAATAAATGACGAAACTACGCCCAAACAGGTACTTGTGAAATTTCTTGAGCCCATAGACAACGGCGAGAGCCTCTTTTTCGATGTGAGCGTACCCTTGCTCTGCTTTGCTCAGTGCCCTAGACGCGTATGCAATTGGCTTTTCATCTTTACCATTCTTATGAAACAGAATGGCGCCTACGCCATACGCTGACGCGTCACACACAAGCCCAATCTCTTTTTGTTGGTCGTAGTATGTCAAAACATTCTCGCCCGTTAGCCACGTTTTACTTTGCTGAAATGCTTGTTCTGCCTGAAGTGACCACTTGAAACCTTTTTTCTGGTTTACTACGTCATACAAAGGCCTTAGCTTGGCGGCCATGTTAGGAACGAACTTCCCATAGAAGTTAAGCAACCCCAGGTAGGCCCGCAACTGTGATTCATCCTTTGGTGACGGCGCCTCCATTATTGCCTTTACTTTTTCATCTGACGGGCGTATGCCCTTTTCATCAAGAACGTGCCCCAAGTACGAGACCGACGTTTGAAAGAACCTGCATTTTTCTTTCTTTAACCGTATGCCCCTGTCCTGAAACCGTGACAGAACACTTTCCACCTTTTGAAAACACTCATCAAACGTAGCTCCAGCTACCAGCACGTCGTCCAGATAGCACGCTACGCGATCCAGCCCTTTTAACACGTCATCCATGACTGCCTGAAATATCGAAGGTGCACTCGTTATGCCATAGGGTAAACGCGTGTACCTGAACAACCCCAAGTGTGTGTTGACCACGACTAGTGACTGCGCCTGCGGATGCAATTCCAGCTGCTGATATGCCGTAGATAGATCAAGCACAGTAAAATATTTGCACCCGGCCATTTTTGGAAACAGATCGTCCATGACGGGAAGGGGGTAATGATCCGTTCTAAGGCATTGGTTTAGCGTCACTTTAAAGTCACCACACACTCTGACCTGGTTGTTCGGTTTAGGCACGACTACTAGTGGAGTCGCCCATTCACTTTTCTGAACAGGTACTAACACCCCTGTTTTTACGAGATTCTGCAATTCGGACGACACTGCTTCCCGAACCGCAAATGGAACCGAACGCGCTTTACAAAAGACTGGTGTACTACCCTCTTTAAGCAATAATTTAATTGCACTGTTCTTGATTAGGCCAAGGGTAGGCTCAAAAAGCTTAGCGTACTTTTCAAGCAACGCCGTTACCTTGTCCAAGCAAACCCCATGCACACTAGACCAGTCCAACTTAAGGGCCGCCAGCCAGTCACGGCCCAACAGCACAGTGTTGGTATTCTCGTTTGTCTTCGCGACAATTAACGGGAGCTGCTTACGCTGACCGTTGTGCTCTACCGAAACGGTTAGCTTCCCCGTTACCGAGAGTGGAGTACCCCCGTAAGTTTTTAGCTTTAGACTGCATGGCTCTTTCGGTAGACTGGGCCAGTATTTCTTATACAGTGCCTCTGGTAATATTGATACGGATGCCCCCGTGTCAATCTGCATGCGGACATTTCTCTGCTCAATTTTCAGACAAATTTCGTAAAGTCCGGTGCGCCCCTCACAGGAGTAGATATTGTGCAACACCAGTTCACCCCCGTCACTGTCCTCAGCTATTGCGTTCACAGCGTCTCTGCTTTTATCCTTGCACATTTTCGCTAAGTGTCCAACACGTTTACAAAAATGACAACGATACTTGCGAAATTTGCAACTAGACGCTTCATGCGCTGAACCGCATCGGAAACAGTCCGGCGATTTCGTCGCTCTTGCCCCTGCGGGTACTGTAGCCGGTACCTCCCTCCGGCGCGGTGGGCGTTTCCCGCTGTCTGGCTTGTGGCGAAGAGCGCTGACGGTCTCTTGCCCCACGCTGGGCTGCAAATCCCGGCTTTCCTGGCTAACCAACTCGATACTCCTTGCGATATCGCAGGCGTTTTTAAACGTTAACTTGCTCTTCTTCAGCAACTCAGCTTGAGTTCCTCTGTCACAGAGCCCGGCCACGAAACGGTCGCGAAGAGCCTCGTCCAGAAACGCCCCAAAGTCGCAGGACGCCGCCAACCGCTTCAGCTCTACCACGAAAGCTGCCACCGTTTCGCCTTCTTGCTGGAAGCGACGGTTAAATCTGAACCGCTCTGCAATGACAGAGGGCTTTGGTACGTAGTGCCCTCGCAGGGTCTGCACTAGCTGTGCATATGTCTTGTTTTCCGGCTTTTCCGGTTCCAGCAAAGTTTTTAGAGTTTTGTAGGTTTTCTTTCCAATTGCCGTTATGAACACTGACACCGTCAGGTCGTCGCTCACCTTCGAGGCTTTCAGGAAGTGTTCGAACCTCTCCACGTAGGACTCGAAGTCTTCGTCGCCGTCCTCGAGGAACTGGTCGAACCTTCCAATCGTCGCCATCCTGCCAGTCTCTTCGCAGCCTGCTCCGGGACCGCCGCTAGTGGCTTTTTGCAACCCGGCGGAATCCTTTATCCCATTCTTCGTCGCCAGTATGTTGTAGCCGCGAGCGACGAGGCAGAGCCAGAGTGACGACCACGTAGACGGTTTATTCAGCACGCCAGTGCGTAACCAAAAGAACACGGAGCATACGGCTCCCAGCGCTTATATAGAGATAAGTGACGCACTATCAATGTGACGTCATACGCGATGCGCTTCGCAAGATACTACACATTTGGCCTACCCGAAAACTCCGCTTCGCGGCGTCCGACTATTCGCTAAAGTGTAATTCGGTGAAACGTAAGCGTTCGCGAAAACGTCATTCGATGAAGTGAGTGCCTCCCTTAACCGCTCATTCACACTGGAAGCGGATCCGCGTTCGCAAAATGGTTGCGAACGCGGCTGTATAAAGATCCAGTACATTGGCACGCGCACTAGATGTCATCGAGTGTGCGTGCAGTTGTTCTGGGTCTTTATACAACCGCGTTCGCGAATCGCAATCGCTTTACGAACGCGGATCCGCTTCCCGTGTGAATGAGCGGTAACAGCTCCGCTATAGGCCTCCTGCGCTGAAGCTTTGAACAAACTGTGGCGCCCTGATTTTGGGTAGTACAGGCTCACTTGATAGAGCCTCGTGCTACTTATGGCACGTTGGTTGATCTTTTTTTAATTCTGTCTGGTGCTGATGAACGAAAAAAGACCTTTGGACGCCAAAAATCTGCCAGACTCGACGCCGCAAGACAATCAAAAGTGCCAAATTCATGACACCACCGCTAGGGTACGCGTCTCTTATCTCTGGGTGGTGACGTCAAAACACCTGTGTCGCGACGCTTTCAATTTGTTTTTCTTTGTCATGTACACTTTGGAACGCGTGAAACGGTATCTCTCGGCTCACGCTTTTAGCGTCTTAGCTTTGACGGAGTTCGAATTGTGGTTGTATCTTCGTATTTTCATCGTGATCTCATGCTCCGAACCAGAGCAGGCACGCTTCAGCATGCGTGACAGTTTGAGACGCTAAAGTTTGTACTATACCCAAAATAAGGCTTAACAAGTCCCAGGTCCCTTTTCGCAGCACCCCCTAGGCAACGCAGGAGGCCCATAAAAAGTCTGGCTTCTCGCGGAGCATTATACTAATTTCCCCCTTAATGTAGAAAATTAAGATATATGTAGGCTCATTTTAGATTAGGTGTACATTACCTTATCAAAGACGTACAAGTTTCAAACGCCAAAAAGCAACGCTTGTCCCTCCGACAACCAAATCTTGTAAGAACTAGGGTGCCTCAACGTCCTTCTGTTTAGGGTGATGCCACCCTTTGTAGTACCCGATGCTGACAGTACGCGCTCACGGGTAAAATACAAAGAAATCGACGAAAACAAAATGTCGCCGTCAATCACCGCCACAAACACGTGCAGGGACACGCTCTTTCACGCGATTTTGAACAAAAAAGAAAAACAAAAGTGCGGGACAAAATGGCCAGATGTCTCCACCCTAAGCAAAGCGCACATAAAGGCACCCTAGTAAGTACTAGGAGGGGGCACGTTGCAATATTGGTGAAGCCTAGTCATAAAAAGTTTAAACGATTTTGTGGCCAGTCTGACTGCAGATCTCTCTGGCGATTGGTGCGTGTGACGTGTGAGATGGATGGTTGATTGTAGGACTCCTTGCAGGCTTGCGCGTGCTCCGTCCGGTAGGTTTTATCAGATCGAAGGCTAGACTGTGGTGTACTCTAGCACCCCATAGCAAGACGAAGGCTAGCTACGGTCACATGATGTTGTCACGTTGGCATGGTAAGTGAGGAGAGTAAGGAGGAAAATGAGAAAGAGGCGAGGCGTCAAGGAAGTATGGTTTGTGGAGGCTACGCGGTCGACGTCATGCCCTTTCCTACTTTTCTATCCTCCTTGCCCTTTTTGAACCTGAGGTTCGAAAATTGAACTAATGGCCGATTCGTCTGGGTCCGCATCGCACCGGTCCAGCAGTGCGGTTCGTGCTACAGGGGGGGCTAAAGGAAAGAGGGCACCAATTCTCTCCCCACTCGCTGAGCTCGCTGCTGCTTTCGAACCACCGAGGAAGAGAGAGACAGAGGAAAGGCTGCTTTTGTACGAATTTGGAGTGAAAGTTAATCTTCGTAGGAAACAGCGCGAAAAACACACGAGGAGGAAGGAGAAACACACGGGAAGGGCGCTGACTATCAACTGAAATATTTTAATAGGAAAACACATGAAAGCGACCATTCATCTTTGGCACTACACCCCCCGTCTGCGTATCACGAGACAATTCATAACAGCGTAACGGCACGTGTTAAACGCCATAAATAGTGACATGATGCTATCCCAAATCCCAAAACGCCACCTCACTATCCAGCAGTGCCAAAGACGGTTGGCTGACAATAATTCCCGCCCTTTTTATTTAGTATGCCTCTACTATCTCTCTAGACACTTGGTCCCTGCGCTTAAACAAAACTTCGGTGTCACTCAATCTTGGCTCACACTTACAGTCGCGACAATGCATAGCAACATGAGTGTATGCACACCCCTTCAATGAACTCTGGTGCTTTCTTAAACGGATGTTCAAACAGCACCCCGTTTGGCCAATATATGCACCCTCCCACATGAAAAAGTTGTTGTTTATTTGTTTATTATGGGGTGTCGGGAAAGGGGGAAACCAGGAGATGTGTGGGCCTCAATTAATGGGCGAGTCGCTACCTGGTTGTTGGGGAAAAAGGATAGAAAGAGGGAAGATGAAAATTATATACAAAAAAAGAGGAGTTAAAAGGTAAATTTTTTTACAGCTAATCTAGTTATAAATTTCCGCCCAGTTAGTTATCAACATAGTTCAGGGCCTTTGGTTAGGGAACGAAGTGGAAGCAAATACATGAAAGAGGTATCCTCTAGACCTTTTAATTTTAGTAGTTGCCTCACCGGCGGATAGAGAGCGCTGGTGCACTCGGCGCTTTCACTCCGTTCTAAGCTTAAATGGTAAAACAAAATGGCTAGGTGGCGTAAGCTACCGCCCGATCCAAAAAGCTCAGCCGGATTCATTTATCCGTCCGTCCGTCCGTCCGTCCGTCCGTCCGTCCGTCCGTCCGTCCGTCCGTCCGTCCGTCCGTCCGTCCGTCCGTCCGTCCGTCCGTCCGTCCGTCCGTCCGTCCGTCCGTCCGTCCGTCCGTCCGTCCGTCCGTCCGTCCGTCCGTCCGTCCGTCCGTCCGTCCGTCCGTCCGTCCGTCCGTCCGTCCGTCCGTCCGTCCGTCCGTCCGTCCGTCCGTCCGTCCGTCCGTCCGTCCGTCCGTCCGTCCGTCCGTCCGTCCGTCCGTCCGTCCGTCCGTCCGTCCGTCCGTCCGTCCGTCCGTCCGTCCGTCCGTCCGTCCGTCCGTCCGTCCGTCCGTCCGTCCGTCCGTCCGTCCGTCCGTCCGTCCGTCCGTCCGTCCGTCCGTCCGTCCGTCCGTCCGTCCGTCCGTCCGTCCGTCCGTCCGTCCGTCCGTCCGTCCGTCCGTCCGTCCGTCCGTCCGTCCGTCCGTCCGTCCGTCCGTCCGTCCGTCCGTCCGTCCGTCCGTCCGTCCGTCCGTCCGTCCGTCCGTCCGTCCGTCCGTCCGTCCGTCCGTCCGTCCGTCCGTCCGTCCGTCCGTCCGTCCGTCCGTCCGTCCGTCCGTCCGTCCGTCCGTCCGTCCGTCCGTCCGTCCGTCCGTCCGTCCGTCCGTCCGTCCGTCCGTCCGTCCGTCCGTCCGTCCGTCCGTCCGTCCGTCCGTCCGTCCGTCCGTCCGTCCGTCCGTCCGTCCGTCCGTCCGTCCGTCCGTCCGTCCGTCCGTCCGTCCGTCCGTCCGTCCGTCCGTCCGTCCGTCCGTCCGTCCGTCCGTCCGTCCGTCCGTCCGTCCGTCCGTCCGTCCGTCCGTCCGTCCGTCCGTCCGTCCGTCCGTCCGTCCGTCCGTCCGTCCGTCCGTCCGTCCGTCCGTCCGTCCGTCCGTCCGTCCGTCCGTCCGTCCGTCCGTCCGTCCGTCCGTCCGTCCGTCCGTCCGTCCGTCCGTCCGTCCGTCCGTCCGTCCGTCCGTCCGTCCGTCCGTCCGTCCGTCCGTCCGTCCGTCCGTCCGTCCGTCCGTCCGTCCGTCCGTCCGTCCGTCCGTCCGTCCGTCCGTCCGTCCGTCCGTCCGTCCGTCCGTCCGTCCGTCCGTCCGTCCGTCCGTCCGTCCGTCCGTCCGTCCGTCCGTCCGTCCGTCCGTCCGTCCGTCCGTCCGTCCGTCCGTCCGTCCGTCCGTCCGTCCGTCCGTCCGTCCGTCCGTCCGTCCGTCCGTCCGTCCGTCCGTCCGTCCGTCCGTCCGTCCGTCCGTCCGTCCGTCCGTCCGTCCGTCCGTCCGTCCGTCCGTCCGTCCGTCCGTCCGTCCGTCCGTCCGTCCGTCCGTCCGTCCGTCCGTCCGTCCGTCCGTCCGTCCGTCCGTCCGTCCGTCCGTCCGTCCGTCCGTCCGTCCGTCCGTCCGTCCGTCCGTCCGTCCGTCCGTCCGTCCGTCCGTCCGTCCGTCCGTCCGTCCGTCCGTCCGTCCGTCCGTCCGTCCGTCCGTCCGTCCGTCCGTCCGTCCGTCCGTCCGTCCGTCCGTCCGTCCGTCCGTCCGTCCGTCCGTCCGTCCGTCCGTCCGTCCGTCCGTCCGTCCGTCCGTCCGTCCGTCCGTCCGTCCGTCCGTCCGTCCGTCCGTCCGTCCGTCCGTCCGTCCGTCCGTCCGTCCGTCCGTCCGTCCGTCCGTCCGTCCGTCCGTCCGTCCGTCCGTCCGTCCGTCCGTCCGTCCGTCCGTCCGTCCGTCCGTCCGTCCGTCCGTCCGTCCGTCCGTCCGTCCGTCCGTCCGTCCGTCCGTCCGTCCGTCCGTCCGTCCGTCCGTCCGTCCGTCCGTCCGTCCGTCCGTCCGTCCGTCCGTCCGTCCGTCCGTCCGTCCGTCCGTCCGTCCGTCCGTCCGTCCGTCCGTCCGTCCGTCCGTCCGTCCGTCCGTCCGTCCGTCCGTCCGGCCGTCCGCCCGCCCGCCCGCCCGCCCGCCCGCCCGCCCGCCCGCCCGCCCGCCCGCCCGCCCGCCCGCCCGCCCGCCCGTCCGTCCGTCCGTCCGTCCGTCCGTCCGTCCGTCCGTCCGTCCGTCCGTCCGTTAGATTGCTTTAATTTGGTTGATTTCGGTTTCATTGTGAGCGCG